GATATGTGTATGATATGTGTATTATTTGTGTATGATTTTCTACATTTTGAGTACCCGATATATGTAAGATATGTGTAGGATATGTATAGGATCTGTCTCTTATACACATCTAGATGTGTATAAGAGACAGCTGTTAGATTTCATAACCAATCAAATTATAATATTTATAAATCATATGATTTAAATAAGTGTAACGTAAAATTTTAACTACCCCCCTCCCCCCCTATAATAATTACATAATATGTGTAAGCTCCCTAATTATTTTAAAAGAATTTGAAGAAATCATAAGAATATTAGGTGGTTCTAATTATATTACCTTATCATTATTATATCCTTTAGTTTCAAAATTAAAATGCTTTATTGGAGATATGATAGAGAAATATCAAAATAATAAAAATAATAATAACAGTCAAAATTTAGATGAAATTTTATCAAATGATGAAATCCAAGGAGATATACTAGAGGAATTTAAAGAAATACCTGATAGTGAATCTGCAAATACAATTGAAATCAATGAAAATGGGTCAAAAAAAAACTTATATATTTCAAATCCAATTGAAATAAAAGAACCAGTTTTATTATTTTTGAATAGACTCAGCAAGTCATTAGAAAAATATTGGTCAGTCTCTTCTGATGTTGGCTTTCTTACTACTCTATTAGATTTGCACTCCAAAAAATTAATATATTTTGGTCAAACTGAAAAGCAAAGGGCTACTACTTTACTTACAGAAAGATATGAGATATATAATTTGCAAAAAAAAACTTTCATTGGGAAAGATGAAAAAAATGATGAAAATGAAGATATTATGCTTGATTTAGATAAATCCTTAATGGATAGTATCTTTGGCGAGAAAGAAAATAAAGATGATGGTGATGAAAATAAAGTTAAAGAATATTTAAAACTCAAGCTAGTTAGAAATATTAATCCTTTATCTTGATAGAGAAAAAACAAAAAAAGATTCCCATTTTTAAGTAATTTGTCTAAAGAGCTTTTGGAATTTCTGCAACATCAGTTCCGTCAGAAAGATTATTTTCTGATGTAAGAAATTTGATTACAAATAAGCGTAATAGTTTAAAACCAGAAAAAGTAGAAAAATTAATCTTTTTAAAAAGAAATTCCAATTTACTTAATATTATGTAATTACTTTAATTTGTAACATAAAGGAAATAATATAAATATTAAATAAAATAAAGAAATAAAGACATAATTTTACTAAAAAAAAATAAAGTTTGTAATAAAATTATAAAATTTGAATATTGTATGAAATATAAAATTCAGATATCATATATTAATTCAAATATCATGTGAGATTCAAATATCATATGATTAATTCGAATATTATATGATATTTGAATTATATTCAAAATTCTATCTTAAATATTTTCAAATATTCAAAATACAATTTGACTTTCAAACGGAAGCTCTAGATTATAATGTTTTATACAAAGAAAGAAAAAAGATCAATGAAGATGTCACACAAAAATTGATACAAAAAAAGAATGAATAACAGTATGTCAAATCCAAAAAGTACAAATAAGAAGAATGTAAAAAAACGTAAAAAAACACATCAGGAATAAAGCTGTTTTCATTTTTGAGACTTACTAAATTAGTTTTTAATGTTAATTTTGCTCACAAATACTTCTTTTACACAATTCTGTATGTTGTAGAATTGAAATTTACTTTTTATGTCTAATATACGAATTATTAATATACTGTATATTATTTAGTTAAAAAATACACTTCCACAAAATTTCTTTGTTTGATATTTAAATCCAAACATGAATACTACAAGCGCAACTCCTATATCACTGATCACCCTAAAGATCTGCTATGATTGTTGCAAAATATGAATATATTATACTAACACAATTGCTTTGCAATTTACCTTATTCTAACATCCATTTTTCAAGAAAATAAATTCCATTAAGCTGATATAGGGTTCTTTTTTTTCAATCACGATCAGCAATATTCTTGAGTTTTTTGACATTTTTATACCAATTAGTATTATGAAATTCCTTGTATTTCTAATGCAATTTGACATTATCAAAAGAAAACATCAAATTCTAAATCTTTTATAAAAGATGGTTGATATTCAACTATAGATTCAGGGTTCTTTTTCATATAATACTTGAGCAATTAGAATACATCTCTCCTGAAATTTATGATTTTTCTTTGATTATAATTCTTTTTTAAGTTCATCTATATCTTGTTTCAATTTCACAATTCTAGTTCTAAGTTCAGCGTTCTCAGCAACAGTATCTGTCCTATTTTTCTCTAGCTCTTTGATTCTAGCTTTAAACTCAGCTTTTTCAGCATCACGCCTGGTATATTTCTTTCTAATCCAATCTTAATATCAGTTTTATTAGCCTTAATCTAAATATTCTTGGCCTCAAGTTCAATGATATGCTGTTTTAATACTCACTGGTAAAAAAATGATTTATCCTACACATATCTTACACATATTGGTTACTTAAAATGTAGAAAATCATACACAAATAATACACATATCATACACATATCAGGTACTAATATATATATCATACATATATCAGGTACCTGATAGGTATACTATATATATAAGTACCCGATATGTGTATGATATGTGTATTATTTGTGTATGATTTTCTACATTTTGAGTACCCGATATATGTAAGATATGTGTAGGATATGTATAGGATAGACCATTTTTTTACCAGTGACTTTAAGCTTGAATGACATGGTTATTAATATTTTTTATATGTATTTTTTATATAGCAAATGCAAATGTAAAAATGTTTTATTAATACAAGATAAAAAATAAATATAAGATTCGAAATGTAGCCCATGATAATGACATTTATGCTATTATTATACATAAATATTTTTTTGAACGATATTTCTTTTATCCTAATTCTCTTTCTATCCAGATCATCCTTCACATATATCCTATCCAGCATTCCAGCTATTTTTTAATAAACTAACGATCATATCTAAAATCTCTTTCATGTTATTATATAATACTTTGTAAGAGTTAGAACTTGGATTCAGCTTTCTTGGTAAATTTGATCGAATATGCAGTATCATTTGCCTTAGAAATTTTTTCAGGGCTATATAACAGAAAATGCCAGCTTTAACCTATTGTGATGATACTATAGAGCCATTTAAAGGTAATTGAAATCATTATTGCTTTTCTTTCACTTTCTCTTATTCATCTTATATGCATTCTGAAGTTATTTGAAATATTTTATGCAAAACTATGAAAACCTTATACTGTTTATCCTCTATGATACAAATAAGGTCTTTGACTTCCTATCCACGATTTGTATAGTTATATTAATGAATAAATTAACTTAATTATGACTAGAACTGAACATAATCAACCTAGCCCTAGCTTTTTTTGCCAACTATTTCATACTGAAGTTTCATGCTAAAGTTCTTGTTTGTTATATCTATGATGATATAGATAGAAGTGTAAAGAAGTGCTACTATATTCATTATGTATGGCTTCCAAGCTATTTAGCTGTAAAGTTCTATAAAAGCGCAATCTACCCAAAATTTCTTCCATACAACGCCTGAAAATATTATGATTGTCACCTTAAATTTCGTGAGTAGGGTAGAATGAAGTCTATACCATCAAAGTCAAGGCCACATTCTAGTAATACTTCACTCAAACTGAAATAGGTTGAAAACGCACATTTTAGTTTTTCTTTGAAAGCTTGGAACTCTTTTGTATTGTAAAGAATATTAAAATTCTTTTCCTCAAGTTTGAGATTCTACTCTTTTAAAAAAAAGATAAGGTTTTTGTATTCAGTTCTTAACCAAGTAAGAGTTATGTTCAGCTGTTGAGATAGATATAATGCTATTACATATAGTTGTTAGATTCAGACAAAAAAATAGTGTTACATTCCAGAATAAAATAAAATTTATTTCTGTTTAAAAAAGAAAATACTGGGTATTAATATGGGTTTTTATGTTACATAGGTATTGTATTATTACATGTGACCTGTTTCTCATATCATTTGATAAAATAATACTTTATTTATGAAATAAAAAATGTTGCCAGAACTGGCCTATAATACATAAAATTTGCAACTATAGCGCTTTATATGATGTGAATAAAAATACTATTTTTAATGATAATATTTTCTAAACCTATTTTTACTTTCAAACACCTGTTACCAAAGGCAATGACAGTTAGATTTCAGCTATAACATTATGCAAAGCAAATGATTCCTCTTCAAACTTCTCTAGCTCAGAAAATTAATTACTCACCCAGCTTCTTTATATAATTCTCAAGTTTTAATGCTTGTCCTAATGTTATTCTGTATCCTTAAAATCCCATTCAGTTAACTTAAAAAATGAATTACCAGTGATTTCTTTGTCTTCAAGCTTTGTAAAAAAGTTATTGTCAAGTTCTAAGCCTTCTGATTTAGAATCTTTTTACAAATACTTGATAAGTTCTCTCGTTTCATATTTTCTAATTTTGTCAGCTTGAGTAAATTTGAAAGACATCTTGCTTTATTTGCTAAAGTAAACCTCATAGTAAGATAAGTAAATAAAACTCACTCCTATACATACATAATTTAGAATATACATATACCTTATTTTGCATTATTTTACAGGAAAGTTTTTTGCAAAAAGTTGGCTGAACTTCCACATACTCCTACATGCTTTATATTTTACTGGAAAAAGTTAGAAAGATAAAAAGAATGATTAGCATTGTCTTCTGATATTAAAAACTTTATGAAAGCATATGTAAACAGAATCCTCATATCTTTTCACATGGTAATCTAGTGGTGATCTACCCTGCAAAATATATAGTTAGATTTATGCCTGGCAATCTTAAGGGGTGTGCCAGAAATCAGCTGATTTCTCTCAATTAGTAGCCTTAACCTCCACCCCTACCTGATTGAAATCTGATTGGCTAAAAAAATTATTATTATTAAATATTAAATATTGTATATAATAATTAGGGGTGTACCAGAAATCAGCTGATTTCTTTCAATTAGTAGCCTTAATCCCCCACCCGGCCACCTCTACCTGATTGAAATCTGATTGGCTAAAAAAATTATTACTATTAAATATTAAATATTATATATATATAATAATTAGTATTATATAATTATCTTGGCTTCTAGTGATTCAATTTGAACAAACTTTTTTTTGTTTTGTAAAGCTAGATTTATAGAACTAAATGAGTGCTATAAATTAAAAAAAAAGTTTATTAAAATTGGATCGCTAGAAGTCAAGATAATTTTATTATATGGTCCAGTGCAAAAAGATTTGTACATCATTAAAAAAGGATAAGATTTACGCCAAAGAAAAATTTTGTAAAACTAAACATAACGGGCTGAGATTTACATATTTATTAGTAAATAATTTCCCGAATTTGCTGCTAAAATTTTTTTTATTATATGATACTTCCTTCTTCCTTAAAGTAAAGTGGCATACCACTAACAGACAACGAAAAACTAATGATAATAAAGTATGCATAATTATCTTCCAAAGGCTAATTTTACAAAAGAAAGTCATCTGTAGCTTAAATTACGCAAGTAAGTTGCTGAAACACTAATTGTACCAAGTGTACAGTTGGGAGCATTGCATTAGACTGGAATAAGTATAGTGATTGCACATTTACACCACATAAAACACTTTGGATGGCCTAATCCAACTTCAAGCATGTAAAACTGGAAGTCAATATTGTTTTTCAAATGAATTACAAAAACTAGAACTATTGGAGCTGTTTTAAATGCACAATAAAATGTTACTATTTTCTTGCATTAAAATAGCAAAATAATATGATCATGAAGTTTTTATATGTTACCTATTATTATGAACTACAGCCAATTGAAGGTGTTTAAGCAGTTGTAAAAGGTGAAATTGTAAGATCCTAAATTATTGCCTGTTTGAAATATACTTTTAAATGCATTAAAAAATGAAGTTAACTTAAAGATTATAATAAATTTTAGAAAAAAGTGCTTAAAATACCAAGGCATATTTTAGTATATTTTGAGGCTAACGAAAATGTCCAATTAATTAATAAAGAATCTAATAATTATAGTGAATCCGATGGTGATGCACAATTTGGTGTAATAATAATATTATAATATTTCTGAATATATACTAATAAGATTTATATAAAAAAAATGAAATTTAATTTATTAAAAAATTTTTTATTGACATTTTTTTTGATGTACAAATCTTTTTGCACTGGACCATAATAATTATTATAATATAAATACAAATATCTTGGCTTCTAGTGATTCAATTTGAACAAACTTTTTTTTGTTTTGTAAAGCTAGATTTGTAGAGCTAAATGAGAGCTATAAATTAAAAAAAAAGTTTATTAAAATTGGATTACTAGAAGTCAAGATAATTGCATTATAATATTTATATAAAAATAATTAAATTACTTATATTTATATTTAAATATATAAATGTCATGTTATATATATAGACCTGATCTGAAGCTTGACTCCCCCCACCTCCTTTCAAATCAGCTGATTTCTGGCACACCCTAAAATTATGAGTTCTTTAGCCTTCTATAACATATGCTTTTAACATTAATATTTACTTTTACAGTAGGTTCTGTATTGCGTGTAGACTTTCTTTTACATTTTTTTATGATTGTTTGAAAAAAAAATAAAGAATAAAGGTTAATATGTTTTTTCGAATATATATATGAAAATTAATATATTGCACAAGATCTGACTGATGATCCATTTATTTTTCTATCACACAATCTGTGGCCTAGCAAAAAATCTTTTGAATTGGAAATCACTGCTCTGATTAGTAGTGTATCACCCTACTATAGGGGTCTTGTTAATTCCAGATTAAGAAAGGCAGAAATAAAATTATTATTAAAGAATCCAGATTGTGTCAAAATCTGTACATTGTTAGCCTGTCTAAAATAATTACTAAATGTAGTAATAAAATCAGGTACATTTTTCTTTTTAGCTTGAATAAGCGTTTCTACTATTTTATTAGGATCAAGATCATAATCATAATAACATCCAAATCTTGCAATATACCTTTGACTTTCTGGTGACAATTCTTTATGAAATACTTTTCTAAGATGATTTTTACAGAATTTGATAACATCATTATATCTCTTTATCTTTGAATAATAATCCACTATTGAGTCTTCACCTTAAAGTAATAATTTACACCAGAACTTATCAACCTCATCTGCATTATTTTCTACCTTAATCTCATCTATATTTATATTATTTGGCTATATTTTTTTTTAAAGTTTCTTAGCATTATATAGCAATTCTATTAGGCTCAAAATTTATGAAAATAAAAAGCATCAGATTGTGTAAATGTATGGAGTATTAATGTTGGATTTCTTATACCAGGCAGACTATATACAAATTGTTTAAGTGTTTTCTCCTTCCAATGCCTAATTGCCTTTATTTTCCAATAGATTTTAATTTCGCAAAAAAGATCTTTCCAGTCTTATCACTTTGGTGTGAATTCAGAATTCCCTTTATTATCCCATTCATATCTTGATTTTCTTTGATAAATTCATTGTAACCTTCATCTATCTCGTCATCTGACATTTTGCTAATAGATCAATTATATTTAATAAAAAAAATAAAGTACTGGTTAGCATGCATAGCTTTTTTTTAGTTTTTAGTATATGCGAAAATTATTTTGCTGCACAGATCTATTATATAATTAGCCTATTTTTGTCACACATAACTACATAAGTACATGCATTGTGGCTCAGCAAATTCTTCCAAGCTGGTGAGATTCAATTTCAGAGCCAGAAGATTCTGAATCAGGACAGTAGTAATCTTGACAAATTACATTTAATTGGTTGTTATTAATAGAATGGATTACTGGTGTATAAAGCTCCGAACGGTTCGGGCTAAACCGGGGAACCGATCCGAAACCGGCTCAAAATTCGGTTCGGTTCNTAAAGCTAGATTTGTAGAGCTAAATGAGAGCTATAAATTAAAAAAAAAGTTTATTAAAATTGGATTACTAGAAGTCAAGATAATTGCATTATAATATTTATATAAAAATAATTAAATTACTTATATTTATATTTAAATATATAAATGTCATGTTATATATATAGACCTGATCTGAAGCTTGACTCCCCCCACCTCCTTTCAAATCAGCTGATTTCTGGCACACCCTAAAATTATGAGTTCTTTAGCCTTCTATAACATATGCTTTTAACATTAATATTTACTTTTACAGTAGGTTCTGTATTGCGTGTAGACTTTCTTTTACATTTTTTTATGATTGTTTGAAAAAAAAATAAAGAATAAAGGTTAATATGTTTTTTCGAATATATATATGAAAATTAATATATTGCACAAGATCTGACTGATGATCCATTTATTTTTCTATCACACAATCTGTGGCCTAGCAAAAAATCTTTTGAATTGGAAATCACTGCTCTGATTAGTAGTGTATCACCCTACTATAGGGGTCTTGTTAATTCCAGATTAAGAAAGGCAGAAATAAAATTATTATTAAAGAATCCAGATTGTGTCAAAATCTGTACATTGTTAGCCTGTCTAAAATAATTACTAAATGTAGTAATAAAATCAGGTACATTTTTCTTTTTAGCTTGAATAAGCGTTTCTACTATTTTATTAGGATCAAGATCATAATCATAATAACATCCAAATCTTGCAATATACCTTTGACTTTCTGGTGACAATTCTTTATGAAATACTTTTCTAAGATGATTTTTACAGAATTTGATAACATCATTATATCTCTTTATCTTTGAATAATAATCCACTATTGAGTCTTCACCTTAAAGTAATAATTTACACCAGAACTTATCAACCTCATCTGCATTATTTTCTACCTTAATCTCATCTATATTTATATTATTTGGCTATATTTTTTTTTAAAGTTTCTTAGCATTATATAGCAATTCTATTAGGCTCAAAATTTATGAAAATAAAAAGCATCAGATTGTGTAAATGTATGGAGTATTAATGTTGGATTTCTTATACCAGGCAGACTATATACAAATTGTTTAAGTGTTTTCTCCTTCCAATGCCTAATTGCCTTTATTTTCCAATAGATTTTAATTTCGCAAAAAAGATCTTTCCAGTCTTATCACTTTGGTGTGAATTCAGAATTCCCTTTATTATCCCATTCATATCTTGATTTTCTTTGATAAATTCATTGTAACCTTCATCTATCTCGTCATCTGACATTTTGCTAATAGATCAATTATATTTAATAAAAAAAATAAAGTACTGGTTAGCATGCATAGCTTTTTTTTAGTTTTTAGTATATGCGAAAATTATTTTGCTGCACAGATCTATTATATAATTAGCCTATTTTTGTCACACATAACTACATAAGTACATGCATTGTGGCTCAGCAAATTCTTCCAAGCTGGTGAGATTCAATTTCAGAGCCAGAAGATTCTGAATCAGGACAGTAGTAATCTTGACAAATTACATTTAATTGGTTGTTATTAATAGAATGGATTACTGGTGTATAAAGCTCCGAACGGTTCGGGCTAAACCGGGGAACCGATCCGAAACCGGCTCAAAATTCGGTTCGGTTCGGTTCGGGTATTAGAACCGAAAAACCGGCGGTTCGGTTCTTACGGATTTCGGCTCTAATCCGAACCGTCTATAATCCGGACCAAACCGACCCGTTCGGAGCTTTACTGGTGTATATACTGGAAAATAAATTAATATAATATTTTTGAAATTTGAATTCATATTTTAATTATATACTAATAGATATAAGTATATATTACTTTTTACATAATAATTAAATTTCTTAATAAATATAAATTATAATAATACTGTAATAAGAAAATTCAAAGATTCTAAACTTGTTAAAAGCTATTTAAGTATAAGGTTAAAAATATAAATTTTTTTAATTGTGTAAAAGTTAAAATTTCAAAAAAAAAAAAAAAATTGGCTATAATAATAAAAATTATTTTTATAATAAAGAAGTGAAAACCTTATAATGTTTTTAAATTAAAAATATGTACTTTACTTAAACAATAATGCTAATTAATATAAATAATAAAATAAAGTAAAAAAGAGCATTAGTTTAAAAGAAATTGAACCTTAATACTTCTTTATTATATAATTTATTTAATTAATTATCTCGATATTTGGTTAATAAAGAAACGTTAATAAATCACCGCGCGGTGATCATCATTAGCAGCATTACATTTTTACTTCTAATTCTGGTAAGTTCAAAATTTATATAATTGCAAAGTTAATTCGTAATAAAAAAAAAATTATCTAAAACATCACGATTATACCTCAACTGAAAAAGGAAGCATTGAAAGATATTAACGTAATATTTTCGAATTATTAATTTTACTTCATCTATTTTTCATGTAAAATCAAAATCGCTTCCAGAAAAATTATTGTACCGCAAAAATCAATTTCATTTCATGGTTATAGAAAGAATATATGAAGATTAAATTAGAAATTCTTCCAATAAACAAATTCAATTTGATTGGCAGAATTACTAATAAATTTATTATATCAATTACTTTTAAAATAAATTAATATGACGAATAATGAGTCATAGAACGAAAGTTATGTATAAGATCACGTGGAACGGGTGATAGGAAAAATGTTTAAGTGTTGCAAAGTTGACACACAGCCTCTAATTCAGCTGACATCTCACAACAGTCATATGTTAATTATCCTCTTTAGGCCTTAGGCTTATCACATTATCTAAACAATCTAAACAAGAATGAATTTGACAATCAAATCCCATTTTAATAAATAGCCCAAATAACTGGGGTAGTGTTACATTTGAAAAAGGGCTAAGCTTTTAAAGGTTAATTATAAATTCTATGATATAATCAAGGTTCTGACCGTGTGAGTTTCATTCAATTCTTAACTACTTCGTTTTCTCAATTTCTTTATTTTTAATTATGGCCACATATAAACAAAAACTTCCAAGAGTTCAGCACATAGAGCGTGATTCCGAAGAATCGGAACAGGAATGGGTTATGTTTAATGCCTCTAACAAGCCAATTGAACGTAGAGTGGTTAACAATGTTAGTGACGATGACGATTGGCATGTCCTTAGTGATGCAAGTTATGTAGAGGAGGGGAGTATACCTACTTTCGAAAGCAACTCAGAGCTTGCTAGTGGTGGTAGTGACTACGATTCTGAACAATATATTGCCCAAGACGATACTCGATCAGTAGAGTCATTTATCAGGAAAATGCCTTCCCATGACGGAACGGGGAACTTCCTTAATGCCACACTTTCTGATAGACCAAATCATGAATTGTCAACAAATCTTGAAGACTCCAATTTAGAACTGCGTCGCCATAGTAAGCTTTACTTCTTATTTGATTATTTGATGGGTGTTTCATTCAAAGTAATGTTTCTCTCAACTATTGAACCCAGCATCTAATTATTTAGATCAAGATAATGAATCGTCATCTCGTGATATAAATATTCGACATGCGAATTCTCCTAACCCCATGGAAAGAAATTCTCATAAATCTTGGATGGATAAGTTCCGTAATGTTTTCCGAGGAGAGGAGGATGTCACAACTACCGTTTCACAAGAACAAACGACTCGATCATCTCAGCAAGTTTATCATAAATTGGCTGTATCGGCTTCAACTGCAGCTAATTTTGAACTTGGTGACTTAGGAAATGTAAGCATATATTGATCGGCTAATGAGTTTATACATTTCATTATTTACTGCGCATATAGCTTATAAAATTCATACTGATCAATATATGCTTTATGTGTTGTATATTGTTTTTCTAGACAAACCCTATTAAAGCTCTCGCTAATATTGGTAACGAAAATGCTAATTCCACTACATCCACGACAGTTACGACTCATTATGTTGACGCACTTACAAATCAGTCTTCTCAAGCAAATCAATCGGCGTCATCATCCACTGGTGTTGATGGTTCGCGCGCTGAAAAACACGCTTCTATTATAACTAGGTTTAATAGTAGATTAATTATTCAAAAAGATCCAATGGCTATCAATTTTTCACCTACAATTTCCAAGGACATGATAAACGAAATGATAACCGAAAATGTCAATAGGTATATTGATTGTCAAATGAAGGTTTAAACAGAAGCGCATTTATGTACTCATTTTTGTTTTATTTAGTGTCGATCATCAAAAACAACAACAAACCTCTTCGCAGTCGGATAAAAATTCAATTTTATCTACAGTTTGGACAACTTTTCGTCGTTTAACAAACAATATCATTATATCAGATGACACAGATTCAGTTCCCAACGATTTTGCGAATTTAGCATTTACATCATCAAGTCATAATACTGGTTTAGCCTCTATAATTACTGGCGAAAATCATTATGATACATGTTATCTTCCTTTTGGAAATCATTTAACTTTATCTGAACTTTGCCCTCCTTTGCATAGTTATAAAAGTCATAGTCATTATAGTTCACCTTCTACATCATCCTATAATAAAAGGAGAAATTCCATTACTACTTCATCCAATACTGCAAGAATCTTTCTCACTCCCGTTTCAAGTTCAACAAGTTTAAAAAGTTTTACAAGTCGCGCTGGAAGTGATTGTGGATTGGAAAGTGGTAGAGGTATTGGAAGAAGCACAATTTCAGAAGTTCCTCTTGTTGTTTAATTTTTTGTAATAATAGAAATATAATAGAATTATGTTAGTCTGCGTTAATAAGATATGAAACGATAGAGCTATTATATTAACAACATTTTGTTACTTTTGTATTATAGATAAACGTGTTATTTATAAATATTGTAATTAGTTTATAAAGTGTTGAGTGGAAAAAATAATAAGAACGAATTTAAGATTATTATTATAATATTGCCTTTACATAAAAATTTAATATAACTAATATTTAAATATATGTATTGTTTTAATTATAATTTATGTAAGCGAATTATTTTATTCAAGAACTACAAAAATTTGTTATTAATTTAATACTTCAAGTTAATATAATCTTTTTAAATAAATTTTTGGATTGTAGATTCAAATGTTTTTTATTTCTTTCATGATTTGCAAATAAAATCCTTAGTTCAGAAACTTCATAGCAAATGATGATTCAAAAAAAAACCAAGGTGATGAAGAGGATAACAATACAATAGAAGTTTGGATTTACTTCTGAATTCAAAATCAAAGAATGTAAAATTATATTATAAGAAAAATTGAAACATATCGAAATTTACCTAAAATCATTAAGTTATAACTCAAAAAAAAATGGATAAAAATGTGACTGAGTGGAAAAGTAGAAATAAAATTGATTTTATTGATTTTACAAAGTCTTAAAAATTTTTTATGTATAATTCAAACGAAAAATTTGTTCATTTTAAAATATTTAAAGCATCTGGCACACAATCAAATAGCTGGGATTGCAAAATAAATTTTCAAATAAAATATGTGATGTATAATATATTTCATGCGAAATCTACCAAACCTTTAAAATTTATTTCTAATCAACAAACTTTTGGATACAGGCTAATTATAGGAGTTGGATTATGAAAGCAGTTTTACTCAGCGTCATTGGTTATGACATTCATTACTCTCTTAATAAATGCACAATCCAGGCTTCCAATCACATATTACGGGGAAGAAACCTTCAAATCTTTACCAGGGGTTTGAATTTCCATTTTATAATTTTGTCAATGGCTAGCTCATCAAGGAGAGGATATTTAAAATTCTACCTTATACTCTAGCACAATGTCATTTAAAAGTCACATATAGGTCATCCACTTTCTTTACAATCCAGTAATTGAAAAAATTCTTTGATATAGACAGTCATAGCGGAAATAAAAAAAGTTACCAGTAGAATTGTAAAGAGAGGTCATCTCACTGGCGTAATAATTATAAGTTATAAAATTCATGTGATAATAGTAAAGTACCTGTTTGACGGAAAAAAATGTTTATAATTTTTGCAAATTGATGATTATATATATATATTTTAAAATAGAAATAAATAAATGAATTTAAATATAGTAATATGTCAAAATTTATTTGATACAATTCTTTAAATTTAATCCTTTCAAAATTAATTGCAATACTTTATTATTTAATTTTTATATATCTGATGTACATTGAATTATTCTAGCATTATCATTGAATTACTCTAGCTTTATCATTAATTATTCTAATATTATCATTGTATATAGCTAAAAAAAGCAAACTAAAAACTAAAATTATTGTTGTTATTGTTATTCTATAATAATAAAAATTATATTCCTTTTCTTTTTTTCTTATCTCTAACATCTTCATTCATAATTCTATCATGGTTTCTTTTCCCTTTATTTCCAATAATTCTGATGGTTTGTTGCCCTTCTATCTTTTGTCTTTCATGTTCCTCTCTCTGTTTAATTCTTTCAGGTTTTTCTTTTCTGATCTTTCTTTTCCTTTTCATCTTACAATTATAACAATGACATTCTCCATCACTACCTTCTGTCTCACTCTGAGTTTCACTCACTTCCAATTCATAATCATCAACAAACGAACTACTGCTAGAACTAGATGAAGAACTGCTGCTACTACTAGTACTACTTTCAAAGAATGCAGGAACTGTATCTAAAAGTTTGATTTTATTCGCGAGAACTATATAGAATTCCTTGTCATGTCTCTTGCCTCCAACATTAGATAATTTAGTAAGTTTAGTTAAGAGTTTTTGTGCAAGTTTTGGACGTGCATTCCTTGTACGCAACCAAACGTGCTCAATTGAAGTTGGCGAACAAAAATTCTGAGTGACAGCTATCGTAAAATCTATTTCATAAATGAAGTAAATTAGTATTGAGAAGTATCCTACACTAAAAAAATTAATATAACCAAACTTACCTAGATTCATGACCACGTGATGCCATCCTCCTGGTACAAACATTGTTTCACCGGGTTTTTGCAACACCTGAATCATTCCAAATTTTTCAGCATAACTCTCCTCTTGGCCGTTACCTTTAACTAAAATAGGAAATACATGAGTAAACCATGACACAGCCTCGTGATCTAAACCTTGCATTTTTGGATCAATTATTTTACGAGGAGTTGAAGGTGGGAAAAGACACCATCTCTTATGTCCAACTAATAAAGTATTCCAAGCAGAAGTACCCAATGGATCAAAATGCATCCTGAGAAAAAAAGGAAACAATTTGTGTAAATATTTCAAATATTTGAAAAATAGGACAAATTATATTTACCCAGTACCACTTCTTTCACCGCCAAGAACGAACCAACGATAGGGTGGGCGTTTTTCACCCGTAAAACGAAAAAGATCATCGTCGAAATATTTGGGAGGTTTATAATCTCTCAACAAGCATGGACGACGATACTGTTTCTTTGGTACTTCGAAAGGTTTGTCTTGGATCTTAGAGGGTTCGTCTTTTTTTGCAACCGATTGCGATGACCTTTTCAGCTTACCAAAAGAAGAATCAAAAATATATAAAGGACTATCGTCCCTAATAGCTTCATTTTCTAAATAATGTAAGTAATATTTGAATTGCATTCGAACAGGATTCCCATTATCATCTTCACCGACTTTAAATCTGTAAGCTTCAAATTTTTTAAGAAGTGTCTTTTAAAAAAAAGCATTAACTATATAGTTCAATAATTATCCAGGGAAATAGGTTTCTTATAAATAGGAAAGAATTTCAGTTCTAACCTCCCTATTCCACTTAACCTCTGCTGGCCAGCCTTTTGTACATCCAGTAATGACAACTGGTAAACCGGGAGCTTCATATTTCTCAATAAATTCTTCTCGAGAAACTTTTGATTCTTCAATCCGAGGAACTTTGTCCGCGAATGGTGGTATCCAATAGTTATTTTTAGCGTAACCATGTTTTGACCATTCGAAAATGTCCAATTCTGTGGTTGTATAACAAAAAAACTTTAGTATTCCTTTACATAATTTCTGTTTTTATGCATAAAATTTGGTATTTATAAAAAATAATATTGGTTGCTAACAAAGTCAATGATCTAGTTTCATGATGACAGACCTGACCGAGCCCTAACTTTTGCGTTTTTTATTTTGCGTTCATACTTTTCGAAATCTATACTGACTAGTTCGGCTACGCTTTTCACTTTTGGTTGATTCTGTTTAGTACCATTAGTTTGATTCTCCGTTTGTTCAGAGCTACAAGAATAAGTAGAAGGGGGCATATTAAAATTTTTTAAGACCTTAAAACGGTGAAAAGCGAAAAATACTAGAACTGATCAAAAAAAAAAAAGAGATCAATTAAATTATATAATTTTTTTTGTAACACCGTGCTAATCCATAACCAAACACAAACCCCGCATTGCATTTCATCTAGATGTGTATAAGAGACAGGTGCTAATCCATAACCAAACACAAACCCCGCATTGCATTTTATTATCAAAAAGTATATTGTAACCAAAATTGCGAAATTTAACCAATCATATGTTTTAACCGTTTTAACCAACCATTGACAACCAAATTCCGAAGTTTATCATATGATCATGTGAACCGAATGTGAACATGTGAAATTCGAGACTTTGCGAGAATTTCGCTTTACTTGTTGATTTTTCAAATACGTAGCTTATATTACCAAACTTAAATATTAGATCAATATTTAATTACATAATGGCTTCGCTTCCATCACTTCCAGAAGAGTTGAAATTTATTAATCCATTCCTTCAACGAGCTCAAGAGACGCGAAAAAGAGAGCCCGTAATATCTTATTACTGTAAGACGAATATCATTGAATATAATGCATATAGTTTGCGTTATAATTTAATATTATTTTTATATTTTCTAGGTAATTTTCTTGCTGCAAAACTTGCCCTTGATAAGGGAACAAAGAGTAAAGAGAGCAAACTGTTTCTTGCCAAATTATTAGATATACTCGAACAAGTAAATAAAAAAAAAATTTGATTTTTTAAGACTTTTATTTAATATATAATAATTTAATCGTTTGATTTTGTTTTAAAATGATTATTAGGAAAAAAAAGAATTAGCAGATAATGAAGCTATTACAAATGAAATGGCTGGTGAAGCATATATAGAAAATTTTTCACTAAAGGTTTTTACAATTGCAGATAATGAAGATAGAGCTGGCAAAGCCACAAGGTTCATATTGTAATAAAAAAAAATTGTTTAATTTTAAAAAAAATTTTATCTCTAATATGTTGAAATTACGTATATATAGAAATACAGCAAAAACTTTCTTAGCAGCAGCATCATACATGGATTTGCTTAGAATATTTGGAAATATCAATAAAGAGGTAGATATTTAATTTTTATTTTAAACGGAATTATTTTGATATAATTAATTGTTTATGATTTTATTTGATTTATATAGTTTGAAGATAAGATAATATATGCAAAATGGAAGGCGGTTGATATAACAAAAGCATTGAAAGAAGGTCGAACACCTGTGCCTGGGCCTCCTGGAGGCGAACAAGATGAGCAAAATCCAGAATTTGATGAAAATAATTTAAGCATTCCTGGTATTGACCAATTTTCTCCTGCTCAAACGACACCAAATCCAACAGTATTGCCGACAGGTCCTCCTCCCACTTCAAATAACGATGCAATTGATACATTTCCAATATTTCCATCAGCATCAACTCCTAATAATTCTGTCCCAGATGTCCAAGATTTGGTTTCTTCATTTGATCAAATTGATATTGGAAAACAAGTAGCACCACCTCTTCCACCAAAAGTAAATGACTATGGTGGAAATAATAATTTTGATAATCAGTTTAGTCAGAATCCACCAGCACCAAATTTCTCACCTTCACCTAACACTAATTTTTATGATGTACATCAAAACTATCAGCAACCCTCTCCACCACAACCTCCTTCTACTTTACCACATACAGGATTCACAAATGATTACACGCAACCTCAACATTATCAACCAAATCCATCACCGCAATCACCTCATAATTCATTCCTTCCTCCTCCTCAACCATCAACTCAAAATTACATTCAACCGGTTAAACCTCCATCACATCAACAACCTCCACAACAACCTCTACAACAACAACCTCCACATCAACAACTTCCACATCAACAACCTCCACATCAACAACTTCCACATCAACAACTTCCACATCAACAACCTCCACATCAACAACCTTCACGTCAACTACCTTCTTACCAACAATCTTCATTTTCAACACCTGCAAATTGTAGCATGAATTCTTATTCTCGACCAGTTGAAATCGATTCACATACAGTAGATGCAGTTCAGAAATTTTGTAAATTTGCAAGTAGTGCATTGGATTACAATGATGTTAAAACATCTGTTGATTATTTGAATAAGGCACTCGAAAAATTGAAACCATATGACCGATAACACTGTTATGTTATATAATTACGTTAGAATTTAATACTTGTAGTATACAATACATGTAAACAACGGATATATATGACGAATGTTTTATTATTATTTTTGTGTAAAATGTTGTGTAAATGAACGATTTTTAATACAACAAGAGGAAAAAATTGTATATCTAATATATCTAATCTATCTAGAAATAAAGATATTTTTATAATCTATTTTATATATATATATTTTCTAACCGTACAATTAAACCGTACAATTAAACCGTGTATATAACCGTACAATTAATCGTACAATTAACCGTGTATATAAACCGTACAATTAAATTACAATTAACCGTGCAATTAACTGTGCAGTTAACCGTACAACAATCTAAGGATTAAATACCAAACACATCCGAAAGCTCTAAAAGCTGAAAGGCATGTAACAGACCAAAATACTATAATAAAAAAAAAAAAGAAATCAGTTTTAATAAATTTATGTAATAAATAAGTTTGTAATTTTTTAAGGAAATAAAAATACTTACTGAATGATAAATAAGGATTATAAGCACCATCAGCAATTTTTTCATGAACGTATCTATTCCAAGTATTTGAAGTGAAAAACACAACCAAGAAAGCATTTGAAAACATCCAAGCTAATACTAAATTAGTTCTAAATAATTTATAATAATCATCTTTTTTAGTAGCAGCATCACGATGTTGTTTTTCTTCAAATACTCTAACTTTTAAATCATTAACCAAATCATCATAAGTAGCATTAACATCAGCTTTTTCGTGAGGTACTTCAACTTGCATCAATTTTTTACCATCTTTACCAGCAATAGGTTGTGCACTACTTCCTCCACCATTATTATTATTATCACCTTTAGTACCCCAAGAAACATCATGAGTATTACAAAATGCATATACCATTAAAATGTTTACATAAAAAGGAATTAATAAAGTATATTGAACCAAACAAGTTATCATATGCCATGGTTCACCATGTAATAAAGAAGAACTAAAATATAATCCATAAGTTGAAGCTAATGAAATTACTACATCACGAAATTCTGCACTTTTTAATGCATCTTTTATACTTGCTATACTTTTAAAATCATTAACATTTTCTATACTAAGATAAACTGTATAACCTGCACAATATAACATTGTTGCCATAATTATTGCGAATAATATAATACAAAGAAAGTAAGTTATTTTATAACCTTGTGGACGATTACCCATTGAACAAATAAATATTGTTACTATAACCATCAAATATAATGAACGAAATATATAGAATAATTCATCTCCGAGACCTTTGAATGGATCAAATTTTGGATTTGATGTTGTAGCAGATGTTAAGAAAAAGAATGCTAAATAAAAGTTTCCCTGAAAAAAAAAAAAATAAATACGAGAAAAAAAGTTCAAATAAATAAAATAAATATATAGTATATAAACTATGATAAAATATGCATATATATTACTTACTAAAGCGAACCAATTAAAGAGAAGATTAATCGCGTTATAAATGAATTCAATTTGTAAAAGGATTTTACGAAGAAAAGGTTGACCAGAACTCCAAATACGCATAAAATTTGCAATTGAATAAAAAGCGGCAAAGAAAGAACCATTTAACCATCTACGGCGTTGTGAAATAAATTCTGGAACATTATCTGGTACATCTGTTTCTGCTTTAGCAGACTATTAATACGTGAAATATTAATACGCCGGTGTAAATATTAATACGTGTAAATATTAACAATACGCGTAAATATTAATAATTTACCTTTACATATTTTAAAGTCCAAGCTTCATTGGTTTTAGCGACCAATTCAAAACATAAAATTCGATCTTCTGCTAAATACATATTTGCTTCAAAAATACCTGCATCAGAAGAACCATGCATGGTTTCACCTTTAAAATAAGAAGCCAAAGGACCTTTACCAGGAGAAGTATTTTGTAATGCTTTATATCTATAAGCAGAAAAAGCACCTGGTAATACTGAGATATAACCAAATACAGATTCTAAAGGTTTATCCAAGATATTTGACATTTTATATTCAAAATTTTGAGATGCAATTAAAGGATTAAGTAAATTTTTTCCATTAGCACCAAGTTCAGCTTTAATTTCACCACAAGCACCACCAATTTTTGGATCTCTATCAAATGCTCTCCAAAGATGATAAACAGATGTATGAGAAGGTTTTGTACCAACATCTAATAAAATACATACATTTGGATTTAATTGAGCAGCAAAAGCATTAAAAAACCATCTATGACTATTTAATTTTTTCGCATTTTTTTCTTTTAAACAAAAAAGGATTTGTACAGGAGGAACATTTTTATCAAGACCATGTATATTTAAATCTCTATCAAGCATTAATTGAGAAGTATATTCAAATAAATGACCAGTAACGGGTTGACCATCAACATTATCTTGAATTATACCATCTTGATAAACACCCATAGCACCAAGAACTTTTAATACACGTTGATTTACTTTATTACGACCATCTGCTACTACAACCACCACAACTTTTTCCCAACCATCTTTACCCCAAATTTTTGATTTATCTTTTGTACATAAATGAGCTATATTTTTAATAGCAGATGACATTGTTTTAATAAATAATTGATCATCTTCATTATACATAGTCATAACGATCATTAATTCCGTTTTTCTTCCAAAAATATAAGGACGAAGTAAATAATTATTTTGATTAAAATCATCAGGATCACAAGTTACAGCTGTATATCTCATATGAGTAAATTCTTCTCCTGTTTTAATTTTTACATTTTGAAGAACTTTATCTGGAACTGGACAATCTAATACTAAATTTCCATGAGTTAATTCTATATGTCTAATTGACTTCAATTTTTTATGGAATTAAAAGATAAAGTTAAGATAAAGTTAAAATAAAGTTAAGAAAAAGTTAATTTTTTTTTAAATAAATTTTTGAAAAGCATAAAAAAAAACATAATTCATAATTTTAATAAAATTTACCTTTCTTTTATTAACTTTATCAGTAAACCCTTGGTCAAAATCCAAAGAATGATGATTTGGATCAGGATAACTATTTTGACGTTCCAATTGATGATCGTGATAATTTTGATTATTATTGTAACCACCATTATTATAACCATTATTATTATTATAACCATCATTATAACCATCATTATTACCATCATTGTTATTTCCATTATTATTATTATTATACCCATTATTATTGAATATATTATTATCATATACACCGTTATCATACCCATAACCTCCTTGGTAAGGAGAGTGAGGAGGATTAATCGGTGGTTGATAAGCGGATTGCTGTGAATACATTGCCGGTGGAGGAGGTGGATATCCGGACATTTTTATGAAAAGGAAAGAAAGGAAAGGAGATTTTTTTTTTTTTTTAAAAAAAAAAAACTAGAATAGAATGAAAGCGAATTAAAAAAAATGAAAATATTTAAGTAAAAAAAAAGCGAATATTAAATTAATATATATATAATATGAAGGACTTTCGAAGGTGATCTTCTCACCTTAAAAGAAAGTGAAAGGAAAGGAGGGATCGAATATAATGATATGATATTCGAAAAATTTCAAAAGAGGGAAAAAGAGATACTAAAAGGAAAGATGATATTTCTTTTATCTAAAAGTAGTACATTTTTGTATTAAACTAAACTCTGGGTGGAATGAATGGAAAGTGAAGGGACTACAAGTCTTTCAAGTAAGTCTATAACATATAATATATATAAAATCATGTTGATTTAATATTTGAATGCATTTTCGTACTTCGTCTCGCATTATTAAGAGTGGTTCTTTTTTTAACTTTATGCATATCTATAAACGTATATGAAATCGAAGAGAAATCAAAATTATTGGTGATACTATTGTATTTCAAATATTTCCATATAAAGATCAAAAATAAATTTTGTTGCATTTATTGGAAAATTCATGTAACACGAGATTTACTATGAATAGAAGAACCGATATAAAAGTAAGGAAAGAAAAGTCATATATCTTGCATTTTGCGTGCGTTATTAACAATGAATAATTTATTTGCTAAAATTACGGAGTTTCAAAAAAAAATACATTTAATTTATGATACCGTAATAGTAATTGGAGTAATTGGAGGCACTGTACGTAAGTATTGTACATCTCCCCATTTTGATTGTATGACGAATATAGAAAAAATACCAAGAAAAATATTTCCTTTGAAGGAAAAAATCAAAAAAAAGGAAATTAGGATGATATTTTTCCGTAAAATTTCATAACAATAACAAGTGTATAACATTATAACAACAAATATTCATAAAATAACTTTTCAAAAGTATAAAATTATTATATATATATATTTTTTTTATTAATTCTAATTTATAATAAATGCAATAAAATGATAAAAACCCTATCGGGTATCTCCATGGTAGTAGTAAATGGGCTACACAACACAACACAACACAAAACAAATTGATTATTATGATAATTATACAATTTCAGACATAAAATAAATACATATGCTATATTTATAATTTAATATAATACTTATACATTTATATATATATATTTATATTTATATAATTAATTTTACAAATGTCCAAACTACTTATATAGATTTTACTAATAAATATTGCTCGTAAGGATGATTCTTGAATGGATTATTCTGATTTCTATTATCAATAAGTTGTACCATTATTTGTCTTGGATTAAAGTAGGATTTATTCCATTTATCAATATATTCATTTAATGCTTTAAGATTTGTTTCCATTAATGATTCATCCATGGTTACATTCATCCATGAAACCCATTTTAAACTAACAGAGACTCCTTCCCCAAAATTATTTAGGTTTCCTTTGTTCGATTTTACACCAATAAGTGAATTTAATCCATTCATAAAATAATACCAATCTTCTTCTGAAATATCATGAGATTTTAATCCTTTTGAAGGGTAATTACATTGATTAAATCCTTTTTGAATTGAAAATTTATCCTTTGGTACTACTTTATATTCTTGTGAAAGAGGTTTAGGTTTAAATTGAGATGGAACTGGTCGGGACCAAACATGATTATATTTATGATGAGCACGGTCAACTGTGGATGGTTTCATACTTGTAAGTAAATTTTTAACAACTGTACTAATTGCTTCGCTAACTTCTGAAGAAGCACTTGCTGCTGTACGTGTAATTTGTTGTGTAATTTGTTGTGAAATTTGTTGTGGAATTTGACAAGGTTTGAATTGAGTTGATCGTGAAGTAGTAACTGAGAAACCATTACCATTCCATGAAGAAGCCCTTTGATGACGAGTTGGTAATGGAGGAGGTTGTAATGGTTGATTTCCTAAAGATTCTTCATATGATGGAGGTGCTTCATTATCAAAAGGAGATTCAAAACTACTACGAAGAAGAGGTGGAGCTGTAGGTGGAGTTAGAGGTGATACTGGTGCAACTTTAGGATAATCTGTTATTAATAAATTTTCTGCTACTTTACGTAAACGATCATCTCCCGTTTCATTTGCAAGACAATTTCTAATAAATAATGGGTCACAATCTGGAAATATGGTTCTTAAAGTTGCAACTTCATTTTCATTCTCAATCCTATCAGATGATGTTATTTGAACATTTAAATTATTTGAATTATTGGATGATGGTGAATCTAAAGTAAGATTAAATAATTTTGAAACAAATTCTTCACGATGTCGACGTTTTTCTTCACGATGTCGATGTTTTAATTCACGTTTTTCTTCACGATGACGTTGTTTTTCTTTACGTTTTTCTTCACGATGACGCTTTTTTGCTTCACGTTTTTCTTCACGATTACGATGTTTTTCTTCACATTTACTTATGTGAGACATTTTTAATAATAATAATAATAATAATAATGTAAAATATTAATAGTTTTGGAAAACTTAATAAAATTATTAAATGTTTTGAAAATTTATTGAAAATTTTTTTATAAAATTATTTTGTTAAAAATTTTTTTTTTAAAGTTATTTTGTCAAAGTTCTTTTTTCAATTTTTTTTTTTTTGAATTTCAACCTTTACTTATAATTAAATTTTTGATTTTCCAAAGAAACGATTCACAAGTTCAAAAAAAGAATTATTATAATTAAAAAAATTATTTAAATGATTAGAATAGCTTGGCAGAAAAAGCCAAGGAATAGGAATAATCCACGAGAAAAAAAAAACAAATTTTTTGGGTTTAAAAAAAAAAAATTTTAAACGGTTAAATTCAGTTCCATTAAGATTCTGTCACACAATCACAAAAATCTTTTTTTATTGAAAAAATGAGAATTTTTTTTTTTTTAAAGACGGAACTTTTTTTCCACGGGAAAAAATTAAATGTGATACCTTAAAAAGTTCCACGGGATTTCGCTGTTATAATTTAACCGAATAACTAATACATATATATTCCATGGGAAATACACATTCACTTGGCATTTAATTAAAATTAAAAAAAGGAGTAAAAAAAAGGGCACAAAAAAAAAGAATTTAAATTTTATTTTTTGGAGACTTTTTTTGGAATATTCTTTTTATTCTTTTTTATTCTTTTTATGTCAAAAGCAGGTTTTTTTTATAAAATAGATATCTTTTATTTTGTTGTTTATCAATAATCACGTGTGTACGTTGGTTGCCGTATCTTTTGTAAATGCCTTATGTCGTAATTGTATATGGTCACTAGATCTTATGGCATTAAAAAGAAGAATGCATTCGAAATGTTTATTACATTTAGTTACATTTTTGTCACATTTGGTTACATTTGGTTACATTTAGTTACATTTAGTTACACAAGGAATAATAGGGAATTGCTCCGATGTACTAGATGTACTAAATATTCGTAATATCTAATAATGTTTACATGCTATTGAAAACCTGAAATCTCAAATATGTACATTACTATCTATGTACATACTGCGCCTCAATAAATCCTTTTAAACTGCGCTTTTTTAAGTAAGTGAAACGGTTTACAACTGTTTTTATTAATCTAAAAAAAGAATATTTAAATTGATTATCAGAAATCTTTTATATAATCTCAGATCAAATAAAACAGTTTTAAAAAATTCGCCACTTGTGTGAATAACAAAATAAAAAGCCACTAGAATTTTTTTTAATTTTTAATTAATTCATTTTCAGCCACTCGTAAACTAGTAAAAAACTCCACGAAAATAAAAAAAATATAAATCCAATAATGATGAAGATAACATGTGATTTTATTTTAAATGATCGATAAATTACTTAAATAACTAAACCATATATTGATACTATAAAAAAAAAAAAATGCAAGAATGCATGCAACTCCCCGCGTGATCTTTATCAAAAGAAAATTAAAAAATTTCACACGTTCAAACAAAAAATCATCCAATAAGCGGAAAAAAAAAACTTTATTTTTTATAAAAGAAAAAAACGGACAACTCATCAATCCTTTATATGTAAGTATGAGAACAAAGAATCATAATATGTTATGTAACTATTCGTTTATGCTTTATGCTTTCTATAGAAAAGATTTATAATGATAAACAAGGAATCACATTGTCCATTTTTCCATTCTTTCAATCGGCCGGCGTTTTGTCGCAAGTGGCGTTATGTTAATCCTCTGTTCAAGAGTTCGAAACCTACAGATTACAACTTGTTTGGTTAATTTAATTATTTTTGTAACTATCTCATGACGACAGTTCCATTGTTCATATATCTTCTCCCCAAATTTGGTCTTATTCTTTCGGTACATTTAGGCTATACTTTGCCCTAAATTGTTTACCATAAAATGTCATTGCGTTCATATTTATATTATAAACAATAGAAACCTTAATACAAGAAAAAGATATTATTATGAATACTTAACGATGTAAGGGATGGATGACTCAGCTTTTGTATTACTTTGTTACCACTATCACAACCTCTATCACTTATTTAATAATATCTTATTAATGATTGTGTGTCTCCCTGAAGATCTTCACCCTTATATAATAAATAAGTTCTTTCAAAACGCACACAAATATTTACAAAAAAAAAAAAAAAAAAATTTTTTTTTTTAAAAAAAAAAAAAATCACACCACCAAAAAATATAACTACATATTTTCTTTTAAATAAAAGGTAAGATTATATTATATTTATTATAAATAAAAAATTAGTCATTTTTTTTTGTCTCCCTTAACAAAGGAAAAAAACAAAGCTCATTAAAAAAAACAATAAAAATTTTTTTTCGTCGTTGCTTTTTTTTTTCTTCTTTTTCTTTGTGAAAAACAAACAAAAAAAAAACAAACACATATATATTACATATATTTATTTATTTTTTTTATATATAAACCAGTAACCAGAATAATTTTTTTTTAAATTATTTTATTTATTTTTAAAAACGGATTAATTTATTTAAAAACCGAATTTTTTTTTTTTAATTTTTTAATAATAAAAGTTTTAAAATATGAGGAAAAACAATATGAAAAAGAAGGCCGCTGAACAAACGACAACACCTTACGCAATTTACGGATTTTTCCGTTCATTTCGAGAATCTTTACCAGATGACAATGATTTCTCAGATTTTATTAGTACATTAACGATTACTCCAATGAAAGATGTGGTTGAAATGGTATTACCATTCTTTCATCGTTCTTCGGATAAAAATTTATTAACACAATTTCAAATATTGATAAGACAAGCTGAACAAAATAGCTCTTTTGAAAGTACTCTTATGAGAGTTTGTGATGCTATCGATATGCTAGGAAAAGTTGAACTTGCTTTAGGATTTGATGAACGTTTAATGGATGGTTATTTAAGAGCCATGCAATTTGATAATGGTTCTGCGAGTCATCAACAAGTTTGGAGTGGTTTACAAAGATTTTTAAATGAAGAATGTGATCCTAACATAAAAAAGAGAATGGAAAGAGTTTTTGCTGAACAAAAAGCTGGTGATGAACTTGGTAATTATTTTTTTTTTTTTATATTATTTTAAGGATATTCCTCTCGATCATATTATTTACCCTATTTATGTTTTTTATCTAAAAAATTAGGACTTAGTGATGATATCCTTACTACAGCAAGCGCTCTTGTTGGAGATGATTCATTGTACATCGAGATTCTTGAAACACTTCAATTAAATAACAGACAAAATCTTCCTTGGGATACTGTTATCATGAGAATTCAAAGAAATATCGAACAAAAAAAACCGCAAGTCTGGCCAATGTTACGTAAATTCTTGGATGATGTTCACAGTCGTCGTGGTATGTTATATAATAAAGATATATTATTATTAATATTTTTTTTTTTTTTAAAAGATCGAGGTTATCTAATATTTATTTTAAAAATCTTTTAGTCATTGATTTTAATTTCTATTGGGACTTTATCGATTATCAATATATGAATGAGCAATATGCCGATGACCAATACATTAATGATCAATATGCTAATGATCAATATATTAATGATTCAGAAACCTACAACATTCAACAAAAACTTGCCAATATCAATCTAGAATCTGAGAATGATGGTGTCAACGTTATTGAACCACCGCAAACGCAAGAAGCACAGCGAAAGCAACAAGTTGTACAATAGTAAGGTATATATATACTGTATATTAATGTTTTTTCTTCCAATTCGAAAAAAAAGAGACGTTTTTCTTAAATTTCATGTTTTAATATTTGTAGGAATTATTATTTATTTAAATGACTTTATGAAAAAAGAAAGTCAGATTCAAGGAAACTAAATTCCTTGTAACAAATTTGATCAAAATTTGATCAATTTGATCCCGCCACACATTTCATTTTTTTTTCCGTTTATTTCTTATTTTTTAAAAAAATATTTTGGGTTAATTTCTCTATACACACAAAAAAAGAAAAAAATTACTTATCCCTTAAAATGGTAAATTTTTTCGGATTTTATTAATAATAGCACAATATATCATTAGAGGGATATTTTGTATTATAAAAAAAAAAAAAAATTTTTTATATGTAACATATCATACAAGTTATTTTTAATAACCAGTAATAGAATTACTTGTGTTTTTTACATTCTTGCATAAAATGTATATAAAAAAAAAAAAAATAAAAATTTTTAATCCTTAAGGTTTTCGAATATTTAAAAATTTATTATTATTAATATTCATTCTACTTCTGAGAACGAATATCATGTGATTGTAATTATGTTATTAATCGGGAAATTTTTAGTTTTTGCATTTGTTAAATTCCATCGGAAAAAAATACGCACTTAAAAGTTGTATACAGTAGATCAATAATGAATTTTTTTATGAACTTGTTTTCAAACCAGTCTTTTTTTTTTTTTATTAATGCATATTAAAATAATATTAAAAGATAATAAATTCGGTTGAATAATAAATAATAAATAATAATAATAATAATAATGATTATAATGATTATAATAATGATAATAAATGATTAAAGAATTAATAAACTTTATACCAAATAATTAATGATTGATTAATAGATTCGGATAAATTCTTGTCATTGTTAAAGTGATAAACTTTTTTAAGATCCAAAGATTGCTTTTATTATTTGATTTTAGTTAACAATAAATAAATATGTACAATAAATTACCCTTACCGGTTTGCGGTCTTATCCCTAATTAGTTATTATTTACCCTTTACCCCTTAACAATAAAAAAATGGTCTGATTTAAAAAAATTCTTAGTAAATTTGCGAAAATTGGAATTTCTTATGTCCGATATGAAGTATCACAGGTATCATATTGATATTGCACAAAAATACAGAAAGAAATATTCGGCTAAAAATCAGAATTTATATTTTTATATTTTGTTTGTACTTTTTTTATTTTTATTTTTAATTTATTTTTAAGATGGTTTTATAAAAAATTCTTATATTAAATTTTTATATTAAATTTTCTGATGAAATTTTAACAAAAAAAATACTGTATTATTATCTAATAAACTTTTTACTTGAGCTTAAAACCTTAAACTTTAATCTTTAAAACAATTGTATAAATTGTTATTTTTTATTATAATATTGTTAACATTTTCTTTTTAAGAATGTTCTCTTTTGTGAAAATATTTTGACTTTGTTTAAAAACATATTTCCTGTTATTAATAGCATTAGATTAACGTTAGGTTAGATTTAATAGGTCAGATAATAAAATTACACCATTCTCTACTATTCTTTGATTTTTTGGTACTTTTTATCAAACCAATAACAAGGCTTTTTTTATGTTTGGAAAGACACTTTATATATATATATATATACAGTATATATATATATATTCGTTTCATTTTTCAATATCGGTATACTTTTCGTCGTCTGTTTTTGAAATTTTTCACCCCTTATAAGTCTAATTATTTAGAACTTGTTTCTGCGCTGATTAGCTTAAAAAAGAAAAATTATCCAAATTATCCAATCCATAAACCAATACCTCAATGGATCTTTTCATTTTCAAACTTGATAAGTTCTTGATAATGTTTCATCTTTCAATCTCGCTATACTTTTCGTGACTCTTCAATCGTTTTAAGTACCCTTGTTTTAATCTATGGTCTAGCCCTGCCTAAAATGCTCCAGGTCTTTTAACAATTTATCCAGTTTACAGCTGATTTCATAATATACAGGAGTAGTAGGAAATTAGGCTTTTTGGCACATTGCGTTCAAATGCTTCCAGATTGATTTCCTGTATATCCCAAAAAATCTTTCATATTGTAAACAGACCCGATTTCTTTTTTTAAACCCTATTTGATATCATAGCTATTTTTAGATTCGTTTCCCAATTGCTTACTAACTTGAAAACAAATTATTTTTTGGCACATTGCATTCAAATGATTCCAGAAGGTTAACAGAAATAAAATACTAATTGCCTCCCTTTAGCATGCTACGTTATAAATAAAGGTGTATATAAAAATGCTGACCTGGGCAGGTGGTGTCAGCGAAAAAGGGTATACAATCAGAAATACCAATTAGGATTGCAAAAAGAGGCAAACTATTTGGAGAGTCTGTGGGCGACTCTTCTAATCTGTTTGCATAAAAAGAGGCAATCAAATAAAGACCCGACCGAAGGGAGGGGCATGCAAAAATAAGAGGCAAATCCAGAAAGCATACATGTTCACAGAGTTGCAGAGCACCGAAGGTGCGGAGCATGTACGCAAAACATGAGAACAAATAATGTTCACAGAGTTGCGGAGCGAAGCGGAGCAGTAAGCAAATTATGAAAGCAATAAATGATATGGAAATTGCCTCCCAATTCGCATACAATAATATGGTAGCACTTGCTAGGAGAAAAAATATAGCAGGAATATGAGCAAGCCCTTTAGGGCGAAGCTCATATGGATGCTATATTTTTTCGACCCTATGCTACCCTTTTAAATATATGCTAATATTATAAGGCAAGCCGGGTGAAAAATCATGTGATACAAATGCATACATATTGAGTTCCGGGATCATCCCCAGAATATTCCTCCCCCAAACAAATCCAAAGTTCCAAACCCAAATCTTCCTAAGAATATTCCTTAGAATATTCCTCATCACTAGCCTGAATTTTTGCAAGCTTTTGACGTTGATAAAACGCTCTAGAATGATGCTTGCCTGAATGTTTTTTACAAGCACCATATTCAGAGAAAGTTTTTTTATTGCATCCAGGATGTATACATGGAGTGAATTCCGGTGAACTTTGCACCCATCCGGGTGATAACATCCTTTATTGCAAACTGTGCCACTTCGTAGGATATAGAAACAACGATAAAATCCTTCCATAGTTTCTTTTTTAAATAAATGTTTAACTATAATTATCCAAATAAAATAATTTTTATTTTAAACTTTTTTTTTAACACTATATAATCATTGAGAAAATATGAGCGGATTACTTGGTAGTATCACCAGCACATTAGGACGATTGTTCGAAAATCTCTTACCAAGCTGGGGAGACCCGGCACCAGTACCACCTGAGAAAACCGAACCTTCTGAGCCACCAGAACTAGAAGCTGAGCCAGAGGCGGAGTCAGAGGGACAGTGACTATGATACCGCCAATGAAGGAGAAACATCAGATTCTGAATCAGATTCTGAAAATGAGTCCGAGCCAGAAGAAAAAATAATAATTCGAAGAATAGAAGATCCAGCTCCAAAATGATTAGTAGAAACTAGAAGAATTTCTGATCAAAGCTTATTTGTCGATCATCTCGTTATTATTCCAGAAACTTATCAATATCGAGAATAGCCATGTTTGAGGATATTGCAGACCAAATCAGTGATGTATACAGAAGAGAGTTGGTACGCTTAGAGGGAATAAAAACGAAGATAGTTCTCATAGCTCATATGTATCGATTTGTGCCAGTAGGAAGATTTCATAATCCTCGAATAGATCAAGACATAGCTTTTCCAAGTGAAATTTTGGATACTATTCGCCAGGATAGAATAGATCAAACAGTCTCACGACAATACCATGAAATCTTAGATAAAATCGATGAAATGGAACGTAATCAACATTCGGGCTGGACTTATGAATATGGAATAAAAATATTTCTTGAAATAAGCGCTTATCAACCATTCCGAGGTAGATCACATTTTGCATTACCAAAGATTTGGGCAAAACCTCAGTTAGGAATAATCAATCCACAAAATACGGATGAAAGATGTTTCGAAGCCTGTTTAAAGGCTTATTTAGCTAGTGAGGAGGCTCGTAGACAGGGAACCAGAGCAAGAAATCTTCATGATGTTGGAAGATTATAGTGCTTTGATAATGCATTAGATTTTACAGGAATAAATTTTCTGGTCACATTGCGAGATATAGATACATTTGAAGAAAATAACCTGTCTTACTCAATAAATGTATTCTATCCAGCACCACTCAAAAATGATAAAGAGCAAATGATCAGAAAGTTAGACCCGCTCCGTATATCAGAGTTTAACTATTAAAGAGAACATCTAGTAGATTTGATATTATTTACTGAAGGAGAGGAAGACTTGAGAGATCGCCATAATATTAATGACATATCAGAAGGGCTAAATACGCATTACTGTCTTATCAATGGCGAAAATGGATGGAATCAGATCATGCGAACTTGGAATAAGTATCATGGGCGAAAATATTTCTGCCGTCACTACATGATTGCCCCATTTACAAGATTGGATTACTCGAAGAGCACATAAAACAACTGTCATGGCCGAAATAACCCTAATGCAGGGCAAAGAGAAATCTTTCCAGAAAAAGGAATGCTCATGAAATTCAAAAATTATAAGGCAATGAAAAATGTTCCATTTTATTTCGTTAAGGATCTCGAAGCAGATAGTGATCCGATAGAAAACAGTATTATCAATGAAAAAACCATTAAACTACGGAAGCAGAAGCCTAATAGTTACAGTTATACTTTAATCCAAACGGATGGGAAGCTTGCAAAAGAAATTGCTAGACGCACTCCGAACTCAATTGCAGAATCATGAGAAAGCATGCAATGAGATTTGGAGGAAATCATCAAGCCAAAGTTGCATAACCTGGAAAAAATAAAAATGACAGAACATGATTGATGGAGACATAAGTCTTCCATAAGATGTTACATATGTGAAGGAATGCTACATGAAACCCGATATAATAAAGTAAAATATTTTGATTCAGCCAGAAAATTCATAGGCGGTGCACATCATGGTTGTGTTAAAATCAAGTGCGAGGCCACAGAAGAAATGCTAGCGGAGGCTATGTATCGTACAGAAGGTTTGAGTATAGAAGAGGAAAATATATTCAAAAAAGCAACCGAATGCTGTTTGTGCAAATGAAACTTCGAGCCGATATAAATGATAATAGGGTTAGAGATCATGACCATTTCACCGGAAAATATCGTGGCCCAGCACATCGTGGCTGTAATCTTCAACTCCAAATAAAGCCAGACGAAATTAAGATCCCATTAATTTATCATGGTGGAAAACATGACGATAATAATTGGCCAGATCAAATTTATAGATTCCTGCCAATTCCAGTTCCCATCATTAGAAAAAGTAGCAAATAACTTGCGTGGTCAAGAAAAGATACCAGAGCAACTAGCAAAGTGTTTTCTGATTATGGCACAAAGTATCCCATAACATTTACTCCTGCTACTTACACAAAAAAGTGATTATCCATACGAATTAAATGATCCAGAGCGTTTCTCTAGAACAGAACTCCCGTCAAGAAAAGAATTTAACACAGTGCTAGACAGACTAAATTTTGTGAAAATGGCTGTAAAAAATGTAAAGATGATTTAAAAGAAATCGATGATTGTGAGCACGAAAAAATTTACACCATTAGTCAAAAGCAATATGATCATGCGCAGACAGTATGGGAGAAAGCAGAGTGTAAAACATTTGGAGATTATCCTCTTTTATATCTTATAACTGATGTTCTAATATTAGCAGACTCTATTCAACGATTTCGAAAGACAATGAAGGAAGTATCTGGACTAGACCCTTTGAACTATATAACATTGCCATCATTCGCATTTGATATGGCAAAAAATATGACTAAGGTCAAGCTCAAATTATTTCATAAAGGTCAAGAAGATATGCACGAATTCGTCTAATGCTAGATGCGAGGCGGAAATTCTATGGCTTCACGAAAGCAAATTTTCCCAGAATGAAAGGCTATAATATACATAAGGCAAATAAATGACTCCTATATTTAGATGCCAATAATTTATACGGACGGCTATGTCACAATATTTACCAACAGATGGCTCGACCTAAATAATTTGCCGGATATACGATCTATTTCACCAACTGCAAAACGAGGCAGTGCTTGGGAAGTAAAATTAAGATATCTGGAAAATCTTCATCCAGCACATAGTGACTATCTGCTCTGCCCGGAACGTCGAATAGTTAAGCAAAATGAGCTTAGTCCATACCAAAATAACGACTTAATTGATAAATTGAGTGGAGGCAAATTTGCGGAGACAGAAAAATTGGTGGCAACGTTGGAGACTAAAGACCGATATATTATCCATTACCGAAATCTCCAGCAATGCCTCGAACTAGGAATGGAACTCGAGCATGTTTATCGAGTACTAGAATTTGATCAGTCTCCCTGGCTCGAACTATATATTACAGCAAATACTATACGGCGTCGTGATGCCAAAAATGCCTTCGAAAAAGATTTATGGAAATTAATGAACAATGCTGTATTTGGAAAAACTATGGAAGATGTCCGACATCGCACACGGGTAGATCTAGTACGACCAATAGGAGAGGAGCATCGACTGCGCAAAATGTTGGCAGATCTGGTACTAGTTGGTCGTAAAATATTTCATGGAAGCAAAAGCCAATCTATGTAGGGGCTTCGATTTTAGATCTTAGTAAGTATTACATGTATGATTTCTGGTACAACTTTATCAAGCGCAAGTATAGGGATCAAGCCAAATTATGTTATACAGATACAGATTCACTAATTATTGAAATAGAGAATGATGCTGACATGATTGAAGATGCAGACCTTTATGACTTTAGTGATTATCCTGAAGAGCATCCATTACTTGAAAAACTTCCAGGATAAATCACCCGGATGGTTCACGTGAGTTAAAAAATAAGAAAGTGATCGGAAAGTGGAAAGAGATTTATGAAAAATTATTTTACCCGATTTTTCTCTTAATTATTTGAAAAAAGGCCTAGCCTTTATCTTTGGCTGAAAAAAGTTTATTAATAGATCTTTTTTAAAAAAACGACTGCAGTTAACATTACTAGTTATCTAATTTAAAATTAATTTTATTGGCTACTAATTGTTGTAGTACAACCGAAGAGTTAAATAAATACCTCGTGAATGCAATCTGAGTAACGATAAAATCGTATGAATCACTCTTTTTCGCTTGCCGACAAGTTAATTTTATAAACTTTTTTTTTACTATGCTTATATCATTTATATCATTATATCATATTTTGTTTCACCAATTAATAGTTTATAAAGATCATTTTATAATTAATCATGATGTATTCAGAAAAGTATATCACTCATTTCTTAAACTTTCACAAGAGAAACTTTTCTGAAAAAATTACGGGCGTTTGTTTGTTTGTTTTTCTTACTGATCAAACTTGAAAAGAACTTTTTCATACAAGATGGCTTTGATACGTTCTGACTTTAACTTCGTGAATAAACCTTGGTGGAGACCAGATTATGATGACCGCGCTCCTCAGGATTTCCTCTCAAGTACCAAGTGTCTCCAACAAGCCATATTATTATCCGTTAATAAAGAGGATGAACTCTTTTGGCTAGGTTACATTGACTTTCATCATGAACGTTATTTGATCGAATGCATTTCAGCAGAAGGCGATATAGGCCTCGATGTTATACGACAGTTATTGAAAAAATCGTGGTTTAAAGTTTTTCTGAGCAATATTCGCGAAATAATGTTTCCCAGAATAAAATTTGATCCTTTTTCACGCTTGGCTAGCTTCATTTGCAGAAAAGTGCTTGGCAATTATATTCACAGAATAATTTTCGGCCCTTCTCGTTCTTCGCACTTAGCTAAAAAAGTCCAAAACCTCCGCAATACCATTAACGGCATTTTCCCGACCATTTTCTTTTCCGACCTTCCAATTGATTGCTTTACACCTTTGCTTGCAAAGCAGTTGCATCAACAGGTTGGCAACGGGTTGATTGACAATGCGGGTCAGTACAGAACGCGATATGTTATGTCAGCGCAAGATAATTATGTTTATTTGGCACCAAATTTGATTGAGAACAAAATGGAAGTGCTATTCCGTCAATGTCGACAAAATTTCAGGAGAGAAGGCTTGGAATTAGAGGAAGCTATCAAATTTGGAGCGTGTTTTCTTGCTCATTTATTGGCTATCCATCCTTTTATTAATGGAAATGGGAGAATGGCTAGGTTACTTTTGAGCTATTTGCTGTCAAGATTCACTGTGGTGCCACTTTCTTTGTATTCAGGAGCGAAAACACAAGATGTGTTTTTACAGTGTTTGCGTGAGGTAACGTGTTTTCATGAACAACCTAGTGCACTTGCCAGTTTTATACTTGAGAACATTCATACGACATCTTATGACATATGTACAATAATGGACATAGATGTTCAGAATAATAATAATTAATGTATAATTTTAGCACACATCTGCAAAAGAATGCCTTAGCTTAATATTATATTATAATTTTATTTAATTGCTTTAGGAATGAATATTCACTCAGGATCTAGGAATTGTATTTGGAGGAATTAGGAATTTTAAAACTTGATCAGTTTTTTAAAAAATATTATTATATATTGTTTTTAAGTATTATTATTTGCTTCACAGAATAAAGTATTTGCAATTTCATTATTACTTCCCAGAAAAAAAATTTATTAATACATGATAAAAATAAATACAAATGTTCGGGACTGTGCCCGTGATACATGACGTCTAAGCTAATATACACGATTATTTTTTCGAACGATACCCCTCTATCCTAACCCTCTTTCTGTCCGGCTCATCCTCCACACACGCCCTATCTTTTAACAAAGCAACAATTATGCCCAAAACCTCCTTCACGCTATTATATAGTGCTTTGTATGAGTTGGAGTTCGGGTCCAAGGCCTTCTTAGTAAATTCGATCGAAAACGCAGTGTAGATCGCCTTGGATATTTTTCCGGGGCTATATAGTAGGAAGTGCCAGTCCCTACCCGTTGTGATGATGCCATAGAGGTAATCGAAATCATCGTCACCACGCTTTCTCTTCCTCTTGTTCGTCTCACATGCACTCTGAAGCTGTTTGATATTTTGTGCGAAGCCTAGGGGGACCTTGTGCTGTCTATCCTCTGTGATACAGATAAGGTCTTCAGCTTCCTACCCACGATTAGCATAGGCGTGTTAGTGTTAGGTTATCCTAATTGCGACTGGAACTAGAGTAACAAAGAAATTACCTTGATTGCATAATCGACCCGGTCCCTGCTTTCTTCGCCAACTATTCCATACTGAGGTCTCATGCTAAGGTCCTTGTTTGTTATATCCATGACGATATGGATACCAGCATAAAGCCCGTGATGAAGGAGGGCCGTGCGCACAGTCTAAAGCCACCACTTTTTTATTTTTCAGTTGGCCAAATTTTTATAAAATCACGTGAGCAAATTTCATTGGTCAATGTTTACTTATCATATATATATATAGGTGGGTTTGTAGAATAGAATACCAATTGTTTAGCCAGAATTAATATTAATTCTAGCTAAAATGATTTATAAATTCATATTATTAGAAAGAATCTGTTATTTTATTATATATAAAATT